TATTCCCCTTTCCCCTACCTATATCTGTACATGTACAATAGTTATCTGTGCTATATATCACATTTTACTTTTTCAGACTTAAGAACACAATGTTATTGCAATTGTTAGTGCTATTTTTGCCACATTTTTGTGCATATAATAATTTATTATTGAACTGTGCAATGTGTGATTGGTAAAAAAAAAAAAATCATATATTACTTAATACATTATTTTAATAGTAATAAATTATTTTATATCTATCAATCTACTTATCACATACTCAATAATCTAAATATATACATTTTACATCCTCTAGTACCAATAATAACTTACTTCATAGCATTGAAGTTAAGAGTTTTAATGTGTTTATTTTTATGTTTACCTCTTGTATCTGTTAATATTCATTTAAACCAAAACTATGGTTTGTGCACAAGCACTACAGTAAGAAATGCATTGTCTTATCATTGAGGTCCCATTACAGCCAACATTGATGTAATTAGTAAACTTAACATTAATCCAATAATTATTTGGTTGTTGAAGTGAGGATGGCCAAGGACCACTAAGATAAAAACGTGCAATATTGTCAAATTAAATTTTAATACCCAATCTCTTACTATACTGCAAGCGCACTTATAAATGCTTTCCTGATCAACATTTATGCTAGCATCTTGGAAAAACTGATCTTGGAAAACTGATCACTTACCATAGGAACAGCTTGCATTTTAGTCTGTTATCAGCTACCTTGTAGGTTCAATATCTAACATAAACTATTTTTTATAATATCTGAAATTTGCTATGATTGATTGCCTCATTATTTATTTATTTATAAAATATTTTACCAGGAAGGATACTTTAAAATTTCTCTTGTTTTCAAATATGTCCTGGGTCCACAAAACATTGCATGGATATAATAGGGTACAATAAAATACAAAAACAATGTTAATACACAATATATACAAAATTTTAACACAGAACAGGTAGGAAATATATAATCAACTATGACAGGTGCATTCTGTTTTGAGATATGTAGAGATGGATCTCTTACAGGATTTTACACTTAGTGAAGATTTGAAAGTATGCAGGAGGTCGTTCCATACTTGGGGTGCTCACTAGGAAAAGGAGGATCAAGCTGCTTTCTTTTTGTAGACTAAGTTTAGATCTTTTAGCACGTCACAATAGTGGGTCATGTAATTACATTGTAGCACAAAGTGGCAGAATGAGCTATACAATGTATTAAGCTTATTAAGGAGAGTTTGCAGTGCAGGTGCATAT